CTGTCTGAAATCAATAATAGTTTTTTAACAGAAAGTATACAAGCAGTAGAATCCTATAAATTGAATCTTATCCTGATGGCCTAAAGACATCAGGCTATGATTTCAGTGGTTCAGTTTGTCATTCTCAGTTTAGGAATCACCTTAGGACAATGAGAAGCTTCTGGTGCCCCCACCAGGCAAGTATAATTTTAGATTTTTCTTTAGAGACATAGAAAATAGACATGTAAACTGAAGAGACACTCTGAAAATGAATACATAACATTAAAGGTATACTTAGGCCTTAACTGCCATGTATCTCTGCTCCTATAATGTCAGAGAAGGCTAGAAAAGTTTGGGGAAGAGCTCTAGCCCATGGTCAGCAAACTGCGGCTCGAGAGCCACATGCGGCTCTTTGGCCCCTTGAATGTGGCTCTTTCTAAGCCTTAGGAGTACCCTAATTAAGTTAATAACAATGTACCTACCTATATAGTTTAACTTTAAAAAATTTGGCTCTCAAAAGAAATTTCAATCATTGTACTGTTGATACTTGGCTCTGTTGACTAATGAGTTTGCTGACCACTGCTCTAGACCATTAGAAGGTTGATTAGGAAAAGGAAATAGATACTGAAGCACTAGAATGTATTGTATAGTAGAAACCAAGGTCACTCAGAAAGTGATTGATGACCCCTTCCCAGGTAATTGCTAATGTCCATGTGGGAATATTAACAATTAACAATTGTCAAAAATGGAAAGGAGCTCAAAGAGCATTTAGGCTGACTTTCTTATGCAAATATCAGACATGTATTGACTTGGTTATGGTCACCAGCTAAGTAGTGGCAGAGCTGGGATGGTAATCTAGGTTTCTGTCTTCTCATTTAGTACTCTTTCCACTAATAACTTTTCTAACCTTTCCTACAAAGTACTAGCATATAATGTACGCATGACTATTTGAGGCTCCTTGAAGCCCATGCACCAGTTTAGAGTCCACTCCAATAAAATTAAACAGTCATGTGAAAGCCTCAGAAAGGCCTTCAGCATTTCTAGGGACTCCCAAGGCCCCAGTGATCAAAATGTGTTTCTGTGATAGAAATTAGGTTCTTCTTCACTTAATCATTACACGGTTTAAATTTATCCAACACAGTCCTAGTTCTCTATCGAGAACAGTTAACACCTCTGAGTGACAGGGGGCATCAGAAGAAGGTCTGGGGTTACCTATTGTTATGTTATTCTAAATTGTTCCATTGTTATAGGCCCTGCATAGTGTCCTCCCAAAATTCATATGAGGAAGACCTAACTCCCAGTACCTCATAATATGACTGTATTTGGAGATAACTTTTGAAAAGGATAATTAAGGTCAAATGAGGTCATATAGGTAGACCCTAATCCAATATGACTAATGTTTTTAGAAGAGATTAGGACACAGAAGACACGGGGGGTGGGGGGTTGGGGGGGTAGGCAGAGGGGACCATGTGAAGACATGGAGAGAATGCAGTCATCTACAAATCAAGAAGAGATGAATGAAACCAACCCTGTCAACATCTTGATCTTGGAATTCTAGTCTCCAGAACTGTGAGAAAACAAAATTTTTATTGTTTAAACCACTCAGTCCATGGTATTTTGTTATGGCAGCCCTAGGAAACCAATGCACTCATTAAATAGTAGGAAACAATGTAAAAAAGTAATTCCATAACACAGATGGGAGTTTAAAAGACAAAGTAAAGCCTGGAAGCCAAAAGGAACTTTGGGGGAAAAAGTAGCCAAAGAACTAAGCTTTAAAATGATTATTCTTTAGAGAGGCCTTAGTTTAATTTTTCCTCCTCAGAGCAAAATCATTAATTGATAGTAAAAGAAATATAGGTATATTGTGGAGTAACATGCAAACTTTACATGAACTTCCAAGAAAAAAGTGAATCTGAAAGAAATTTTGCATACTGATAGAGTGCTTTGCATTATATTCTTAGATCCCTAGGGATATGGTGCCCATTTGCTTCTTAGGGGAATTTTGGTAGAAAAATTGAAAAGCACTGTTCTAAATATATCTGATGCCTCCCAGATAGTCTTCCTTCTATAAAAGGCATCTCCATGTTTTATTCCATGCCAAGCACTTTGAAAGATGACAATAGCAGATACAAATGGGTTCTACTCCCTGCCCTGCTTATTGTCTAGAGCAGTGGTTCTCAACCTTCCTAATGCCGCGACCCTTTAATACAGTTTCTCATGTTGTGGTGAACCCCAACCATAAAATTATTTTCGTTGCTACTTCATAACTGTAATTTTGCTTTTCTTTAATACAGTTCCTCATGTTGTGGTGACCCCCAATTTCATTGTTACAAATTGAACATAATTAAAGCATAGTGATTAATCACAAAAACAATATGTAATCATATATGTGTTTTCCGATGGTTTTAGGCGACCCCTGTGAAAGGGTTGTTCGACCCTCAAAGGGGTTGCGACTCACAGGTTGAGAACCGCTGGTCTAGACAAATTGATGCTTCCAGGTGGGACAGAAATGTAGGCAGTTTCCAATGTCAGGGAAAGGGGACAAATAAACAAGGCTCTCCCTTTAGACAACCTTGCTATATGTCAGGGTTTGAAAAGGAACCACCTACGAAGAATGTTCTCAGGAGCACAACCATTTTCTCCTCACACATCTTTTAGCCAAACTTAGCTGAGCTGCTGAGGTGAAGTGTTAGATGCTTCCTTCCCCTCTCCAGATTCATGGCACATGCATCATCTGGATAAAGGCCTGGGGACTAAATGCAAAAGACCATGTCACCACCAAAAGTCAGACTACCTTAGCATGCAGGTATAGTTGCCCGTGTCATTGAGGAGGGTGGGCCGGAACCAGAGCACATCTTTCTCCTTACTAATGCGGTTCTCCGGGAGGCGGAAGTTAATTGGTTCCTCAAGGTCCCGGTCCTGCCTAGTCCAATACCAGATCAGAGTAAGGCCAGCTGAATGGGCTGTGCTGTAGTTATATTTCAAGAAGTGTTCAAAGAGTGGGCACTTGATGCGAGCTGGCTCATCTTCAAACACTTGGATCTGCCTCATGGTATCGAGTCCCCAGTCATCGCAGCGTTCTGGAACAATCAAAAAGAAAAGGCAGATGAGTCACCTCACACTTTCTCTCCAGATACCCAATCTTTCCCAGGAACTTCCTTCTCTAGTCATCTTCATTCACCTCTCTTTAATAACTGCATATAACAGGCCCCTGTGAAGTGAAGAAATGACTTTCCTTTTATTCCTTTACCATTTTATGACTATCTCTTGGCTAACAATTGGATTTAATAGTTTGGTCCCACTGAACTCTGAAAGATATGGGGGAGAATCTCACCTGAAAATAAGTCATGTAGGGATCTCATGGGGCAGGGATCTCAGCTGTTACATCACACTCCCTTCTCTTTTGGAAATTGAGACATGCCATTGTATACAAGAAGGATCATTTATTCTTTAATTGGTGGCTTAATAAATGTCTACCATGTCCCCCTCAGCTTAGTTAAGCCTGTAAGTACAATAGTGAGCAAGAGCAGACATGGTTCCTGACCTTGTTGAACTTACAGTCTAGTGAGTACGTACTTAGGTAAGTACTACTTTACAACTGTGATAGTGCTAAGAAGTGCATGGTGTTATGAGAGCATATATATTTGTAATAATTGGAAATTTGTGCTAGTGTTGCTCAGCCATGAAATAAATAAAATGTTACACAAATGGTAAAAAGGGCTCCTGACTTCAGGGCTAGATCTGAGCTCTCCAATGGCAATAAAACCTGAGCCACATTTGTAATTTCAGATATCCTAGTTGCCACATTAAAACGTTTTAAAAAGCAGGTAAAATTATTTTTGCATATTTTGTTAAAGTCGATATATCCCAAACACTCTTAATACACTAATGAGCTGTTTTATATTTGCATTCTTTTTTTGGTACTAAGTCTTCAGAATCCGATGTGCTTAACACCTACAGCGCATCTCATTTTTAGCTAGTCCTGTGTGTCTACTGGACACCAGGTTAGAGAGCAGACCTTAAGAAGTCAAGAGGTTTCAGTGACACTCATTAGGGAACAAAGGTGCTATAATTTCAATGACTCATAGTCAAATACATCCATAATGACTTTTATAATTTATTTTTATAATGAAAAGTAATCACTTGTACATACTGGAAAATGATAATAAATGACCTTTTTTATGATATATGGATGGAGAGTTCTAGATCTCATCATATGGAGACAAGAACAGAGAAACCAGGGGTGATAGAGTATTAAAAGGCCCAAAGCAATCACCTTAAAACAGTTTTCTTTTTTTCCTCACAACACTTACATACTTACATACATTCACATGCATATGCATATGCATATGTGTGTATGCATTTTTAACTATGTAATATTCCCGACATTTCAGCTGACATTAAAACTTTTCATCCTAAGTATAAACATTAAAAATAATATACCCTAATGTTATATTTTAAGTAATGATGTTTTAAAATAGTTATACCACTTTTTAAATTACAGTCAATCAAATAGTGATTTGCGCCCTAACCTGTTTGGCTCAGTGGATAGAGCGTTGGCCTGCGGACTGAAGGGTCCCAGGTTCGATTCTGGTCAAGGGCATGTACCTTGGTTGCAGGCACATACCCAGTAGGGAGTGTGCAGGAGGCAGCTGAATCGATGTTTCTCTCTCATCAATGTTTCTAACTCTCTATCCCTCTCCCTTCCTCTCTGTAAAAAAATCAATAAAATATATTTTAAAAAAACAAATAGTGATTTTCCATACACCAATATCCACCTAAAATATGTAAACAAGCTTTATTTTAACCATTGGTAATTCTATTCTGTTCCTTTTTCTCCTTGACCTTATATTAATTCCACTATCTTCATACATAATCTTATTTTAATAAAATAGATTTCTGGTGTTTCTTTTTACTTTTTATTTCTTTACTTTTCTGTGCAATATATAATGCTCTTTGTTGAAAAGTTGAATTTTATTATGATTATAATATATACAACTTAAATAATATATAGTATTTTAACTTTATAAGTATTTAGTAAATATAAAATTATATTGGAAATCATCTCTTGATAATAATCAGGATGGGCTACTTTTGAATGAAAGGGGTTAGGCATTACTTGAAAATGTTTTATGTATACGTAAGCATTGAGAAAAACTGTCCATAGCCAAGAACAAAAGGAGTTTACTTCTAGCATGGTTATTCAGTCTTTAAACTCCTTTGGAGTTTTATGCCCCATTTATACTTTTATCATAACAAATTATTTTTAATGACCTATCACTTGACATCTCTGGAAGATAAAGTTTGAGTAAACAGACCTAATTCACATTCCTTCCTATATCCACATCCTCCACTCTCCTTTCTCTCTCTCTCTCTCTCTCTCTCTCTCTCTCTCTCCCTCTCCCTCTCCCTCTCCCACGTGAGGACAAAGTGAGAAGGAAGCCCTTTGGAAACTGGGGGAAAAGTTCTCACCAGACACCTAATCTGTCAGTGCCTTGATCTTGGAATTCTCAGCCTCCTGAACTGTAATACATGTGTGTTGTTTAAACCACCAATCTGTGGTATTCTTTTACAGCAGCCAGAACTGACTAAGATACCCAGGAAAACCTGAATGAGAGACCACCAGCACCTTCACCAGCACACTGTCTGGCCTTTCACGGCTGACCAGAGATGCAAGAGCAAGCCACGCTTCTGTTAGCAGAACTGCCCAGGCAGCCTATAGATCCTGAGAAAAATATATGTGTAACACACAAAATGAAGTTTGTCACTAAAGTTTATGGTTGTTAGGCAATATTTTGGGGAGGGCATATAATGGATAGAACAACTAAATTAGTGGCTACTTTAAGTTTGATAAAAGCAAAGGATTTGAAGCTTTATGACTTGCAAAGGGATTTGTGAGTAAGTAATAAATCTCTAAGTAAATATTATATCTGGAAAGTTTAACAGACTGACTTTTCTAAGACTCAACAAATTGCTTCTACTTATAATTGCTTTCATTTAGAAACACCTTTTGAAAGCCAATATACAGAGAAAGAATTGTGAGATCAAAATGATGTTCACATCAATACAAACTTGATACTAAAATATTTTATAAAACATCTACCTTATCGCATTCTTTAAATTCTTTTCAGTAAAACTGCAAAATTGCAGAATTAGCTCATTAAATTTATAGAAAAATATAACCATAGTTTTTTTTAGGTAACTATGTCAGACTATATACATGCATCCAATTTCATTCCTTTCTGAAACTCCACAAAAACTAAAATTACTTTTCAAGACATAACCCCAAGTAACAGCAAGGATGGGAGGAAAGGTAACAGCAACATCAAAATGAACAAGTGGTAACAAGCTTAGCCTATTTAGAATGAAAAACCCTGCCAGCAGGGAAAAACTGGAGAACAAACCAATCAGCAATGCAGAATACAGAAAAGACCCCGGAGGAGCTATCAGTAGCAACATAAAAAACCATCAGTGCTGTTCACCAGTATTCCTGGGTTTGCTTCTACACATAGTGTAAGATTACTAGTATACTTGCATTCCCTCTAAAGTAAGGATCAGCCACGTGAAGGGCCATGCTCCCTTTCCTGCTGGGTTGGCAAATATGAAAGTATGGAGAATGAGACTCTCTTAGCTTAGATCCCTTGATATGGATTATATATGGCAGAGCTTTGTTATACTAAGTCATAGAAAATAGAAATTTGCTTTTTACCAATATGAATAATCTATTCTATCCTGGCAAATGCAATCAGTTACCTCAAAACTGAGGACACAGCAGAGGGTGGTGAAATAAGGACGATCAGATAAAAGCTATGTCAAAGGTGACAGCCTTTGTTCTAACCTCAATCTCCTAGCACTCAGTAACCTTTCCCACTCAGCTCCAAGGACGAAGTGGCGATACCTTTACCCACCAGGCAAAAGAATGAGTGAATCTTCTAAGGAAAATGTGGCTAGCTTCAGAAAAAAATGTAGCACTCTTAATCTCAGTGGTTCATTAACAAATTGCACCGCCACACCATCCAACAGAAAAGCTCAAGGTTAACAAGCCTCACATTCATATTTAAATTTGTTTTAATGTAATCTTTCAATTACATTTATATTCAATATTCTTTGTATTAGTTTTGTGTACAGCACACAGTTGTTAGATGATTGTGTAATTTACAGAATGGTCCCCTAGCTATTTCAAGTACCCACCTGGCACCATTCATAGTTATGACAATATACAGAAAAGCTCAAGGTTAACAAGCCTCACATTCATATTTAAATTTGTTTTAATGTAATCTTTCAATTACATTTATATTCAATATTCTTTGTATTAGTTTTGTGTACAGCACACAGTTGTTAGATGATTGTGTAATTTACAGAATGGTCCCCTAGCTATTTCAAGTACCCACCTGGCACCATACATAGTTATGACAAAGTAATGACTATATTCCCTAGGCTGTACTTTACATCCCCATGACTATTTCGTAACTATCAATGTGTAGTTCTTAATTCCTTAGCCTTTTTCAGCCACCTCTCCAACCCCTTCACATCTGGCAACCATCATTTTGTTCTCTTTATCTACGAGTGTGTTTCTATTTTTTGTTCATTTATTTTGTTCTTTAGATTCCATATATAAGTGAAATTATATGGCATTTGTCTTTTTTTTTGTCTGACTTATTTCACTTAGCTTAATACTCTCTAGGTTCTCCATGCTGTTACAAATGGTAAGATTTCATATTTTATTAGTAATATTCCATTGTATAAATCACTACTCATTTTTTTTTATCTATTTGTCTAATGATGGGCTCTTGGGTTGCTTCCATATCTTGGATATCGTAAATAAAGTTGTAGTGAACAAAGGGACACATATATTCTTTTGAATTAGTGTTTTGGGTTTTTTCAGATATATTCCCAAAAGCAAATCCCTATTTTCTGTGACTTAGTACAACAAAGCTCTGCTATATATCACGCATATCAAAGGATCTAAGCTAAGGGAATCTCATTCTCTGTACTTTCATATTTGCCAACGCAGAAGAAAAGGGAACATGGTGAAATTGCTGGGCCATACGGCAGTTCCATTATTAATTTTTTTTAGGAA